GGTTTAGTGGCAGACTTGGCAGTGCTAGGTTAACGGTTGGACTTGATGATCTTAAAGGTCTTTTCCAACCTAAATGATTCTATGATTCTAAATGGAATATTTGGAAACCTTCCACTACTGCACAATACACATAAACTTGGGTTTTTTTGGTGAAGGTAGGAAATTCGTTTACTGCTGCAAGACTGAGCCATAAATTACAGTACAAAAAGTGATAGAAATATGGTCCATGAAAACAAAAATTAAAGATTTCAAGTTGATACTTGGATTCTGAACTTAGTTTTAAAATAATATAAGTAAGTCAAGAAATCATCTCAGTATCCTCATATCAATACAACTGACACTGTGCAGTGGAATTATCTGCTGTTGAAATTTTGCAGTAGTCCTGTAAGGGCCTTTTTGTTATTTTAACTTTAAGGAGCAACATTTTCTGAGAGAAAACATCTTATCTTGTTCTACAGTTCCAACTTAAAGCACAACAAACCAACTGAACACTACCTTTGCTGAACTTCTTGCCTATGCTGTCAAAGGTAACTACTGCTTATTCCTACATTGACTATAAGCTGTGGTTAAAAATATTTCATATTCATTATGAAACAAAACATTTTTAGATAAGGCATCTATTAATCAACACCTATGGCTTCAAGCATTTCTACACCCTATGTGGCTGTTATGATAAACAGGTTAGAAAGGCCTCACAGACAACAGTTACGTATTAATATGAGCATTTCAAATCACCTCAGTTAAGGTTCAGCATGTAAATTAAAACATGAACTAAACCATGCCTCCAATCTGTACTGGGCAACCACAAAGGACTCCAATGTTTTTCACTTCTCTGGCTACTTTTGGCATGCCCAAGAACCAAATACAAGTTCCCTTTCCCGCAAGGAAAAACAAAACCTAACAGAACTACCTGGGCACTACACCACTTAAGATCTTCTGCATATTGCAAAGATTAACTAACCCAGAAAGGTGCTCAAGCTAATCAAAACAAAACAGAAATACGGCTCTCAAGGCTCCTAGATTGCAGCTTCTGTGATATACTGCCCCGAGATACGGCTCAGTGTTTCACTCAACACAACTACTTTGTTATGAAGAACAAATTAGCAACTTGTAATAATTAACTCCAAAAAGCAGATGACATGTAACAATATGCAGTCTTCAAATTCAGAAGCCATTTAGCTATTCTAAAAATGGTTTGGGTAAACTGTATGGTTAGTACTGTCAGGCAACAGATGGAAGAGCTGGAACTGCTGTTGTTCTTAAAATCAGTTACATCAAGAAAAATGTAATGGCATGACAAAACAGTCCTATTTCCAGACCAGTGGCCAAAGAACATGCCGCAGTCGGACTTCAATAGATCTGACTGATACACAGAGTAGTGACAATATCACCACCCATGATCAGTTACTCTAGAAAGGAAGTATGCACATATTTTGAGACCAGAAATTTTTATATTTCCCTTAAAACAAAATTATTCAGCTCTGTCTGAAAACATTAAAAATTAAGTTGTAAATTAAAACTGCTCACAGTTTTATTTGGAATGCTTCTGTATAACCCAGTAACTATTACTAGCATTTATCCAGTAGAAGATAAAAATTATTGCTTCAAAAACAGGAAGCAACTTTAAATGACAATAATGATATCCCTTCACTCCTCTCCACAAATTAATTTGTTTACAAACTTTCCATGTAGCTATAACTTCATTTTTTGGGGAAAAAAACACAAGCACTTAAGATTAACTTACCCACTACATCATCATTTGAATAATCCTCAGCTTGAACAGCCATTTCTGTAAGTCAAAAATGTACAAACAATTCAAACAGGACAGTTCTATAAATATTTATAAAAAGCTGAATTGTTTTCCCTTATGCTCAAAACAGTGACCTATCAAGACTGCTCTGTAATACTACTTCTGCAGAACTCATATGCAAATTTTCCTCAACTGAATTTTTCCACGGAAAAGATTAATACTTAAGTAGGCCAATGAGTAAATTGCAGGATTGCATAGTTTCAAAACTGATACTTCTAAATTCTGAAACTGTACTATCCGAAGCACAAATCTCCCAGTTTCACATACTACTACAGTATGGGCTTAGAAAACATTCATATACTATTATGTTCCTAGCTGTAATTGTGAAATATTTACTTCAAAATTTAGTTCTTTTTAATTCTGTATGTATGTTTAAATTAGACATGTCACATGTCACCATGTGCTATTACTGCTAACAGACTGAAGGTTGCACATAGCTCCCTATTCATGCATGGAGGGAGCGAGGCTCAACAGAAAAGAATTCATAATAGCCAGGATGCTGGCTGTAGACAGAAAGAAGAACTGAAGAAAGGGAAATGCATTCTCTGACTCGGGAAGCCCATAAATAAAGTGCTCAAAGCTGGAGAGATATTCCACTTTATTTTATTTCTTACAAATACTCTTTTTCCTGAGTACGCACTACTGGCTGGTGGGAAACAGAGGATAGCAAAGAAATCTGCAGCTTCACATGACCTAATATGGCCATTTTTATCGCTATAAGTTTTTCTGAACTGGGAGCACTCTCAGCTTCTAAAACTGAAAAGTGCTCTGTAAGTCATTAAAATATTGTCATTAAAAACCCCAAGATGCTAGATTCCAACACAGTTATGTTTGCCCTTAATAGAAAAAAGCTGCAGAAAAAATTACAAATGTATCTTTATTGCACCATCGAATTCTATTCTATGATATTTATCATTCTTAAAGTAGAAAACTCATGCAAAAAGTAATATACAAACCTGATTCCTCTGGTTCAGTGGCCACATCATCTTCTGTATGCTTACTTTCTACTGTTACAAGAAAATAAGTGTTGAAAGTTACACACAGAATGTTCACAATTTTGTTTTTATTCCCCACCAACCACCCAATCAAATTAGTATCAAACAAAAAGGAAGACTTAAACTGCAGAACAACCCACTAGGTCAACTTAACAGTAGAAAAAAGGTACTGAATGCATGTCTTGTGCAAAAGTTTAACTCCTCTTTGTTATTGACTTCCATTCCTAGTGCACCCCCCAAAAGTGATTTTTGTTACAATTGTTCCCATTTAATTATATTAGAACACATTTTTCAAGTAGAAAACCTAAATAAATATAGCATCTAATCCTACACACCGTGTTCAGATTAATTTCCTTAGATCACTTTGCTCTAGCTGACTGAATTAATGTCATGTTTGAAAAAAAAAAAAAAAAAATCTTGCTTAACAATATTTTTAACTACTTAGAGCAAATCTTCAAATTACATTTGACCCAGTACTCATTTAAAATTCCCTGACACCAGCACAATCAACAAAAATTTAAAACTTAATCTTTTTGAGTAGTAATGTGGGAAATTAACATACTCCATTCCTCAAATTGAACCTCTAAGTACCTCATAAGAATGTCATGAAATTCAACAAGGCTAAGTGCAAGGTCCTGCACCTGGGTGAGGGCAACCCCAGTATCAATACAGGCTGGGGGATGAATGGATTGAGAGCAGCCCTGTGGAGAAGGACTCGGGGATACTGGTGGATAACAAATTGGACATGAGCCAGCAAGGTGCGCTCACAACCTAGAAAGCCAACTGTGTCCTGGGCCGCATCACAAGAAGCATGGCCAGCAGGTCAAGGGAGGCGATTCTGCCCCTTTATTCCTCTCTCATGAGACCCCACCTGGAGGACTGTGTCAGCTTTGGGGTCACCAGTACAAGACAGACATGGATCTGCTTGAGCAGGTCCAGAGGAGGGCCACGAAAATTATCAGAGGGATGGAACACCTCTCCTATGAAGAAAGGCTGAGAGTTGGGGTTGCTCAGCCTGGAGAAGAGAAGGCTCTCGGAAGACCTTATTGCAGCCTTTTGGTAAATAAAGAGGTCTTGTAAGAAAGATGGAGACAGACTTTTTACTGAGGCCTGTAGCAACAGGACAAAGGGCAATGGTTTTAAAGTGAAAGAGGTTAGATTTAGATTGGTCATAAGGAAGAAATTTTTTATGATGAGGGTGGTGAGACACTGGAACAGGTTGGCCAGGGAGGTGGTAGATACACCCCATCATTGGAAGTGTTCAAAGTCAGGTTGGATGGGGCTTTGACAGTTTCTCCAAGAAATTTTTTATGATGAGGGTGGTGAGACACTGGAACAGGTTGGCCAGGGAGGTGGTAGATACACCCCATCATTGGAAGTGTTCAAAGTCAGGTTGGATGGGGCTTTGAGCAAGCTTATCCAGTGAAAGATGTTTCTGCCTGTGGTAGGGGAGTTGGACTAGATGATCTTTAAAGGCCCCTTCCAGCACGACCCATTCTATGATTAGCTTGCTCAAAGCCCCATCCATACATTTCTCTGCTTCGTATTTTGTTTTTGAATTATATTAACAAATATAAATGGAAGAAAAAATGTTTTGTTTCACAAACTATAAAAACTCATACCTGGCAGCTCTTTATCAATATCAAAATCTTCAATAATTTCAACTATAAGAGAAAGTATAAAAAGAAAAAATATCTAGTGAACTTTTTTTTTTTTTTTTTAACATCAGATTTCAAAATGCATATATTTCATCAAAACACTTTAAGGTCACAATTAGAAAATATATACCTGGCTCTGTGGCTTCATTCACCTCCTCTGGAAGGTGCTCAACAGCTAAGAAAACATTCAATTCAGAACAATATTGAAGTCAAGCCCTCAACTGATGAAACTTACATACAACACAAAAGAACACAGCTAGCACACAGACACGTTTAACTGTGAACAGTAAATTGCTATAAACAAACAGGAACTCGGATGAATTTGAGGGAATAAATTACTTAAATTTTCTTTCCTGTTTCACTAAAGAACTGCTGTATTAATTAGGTAAATATTTCAAAATTGTACCTTCTGAATAAATGTTGTTTGGATTATGACACAGTAACTTTAAAAACTGAAATTTTAAAAACACTCCTTAATCTTTCTAAGCATAACCAGTACCTCCCTCTTTCATTTTTTGCAGCATCAACTCCATCTGCCAGACATATTAAAAACCAAACCAAAAAAACCTATAATCTTTTACTTTAAAAATCTTTTTATTTGGATAAACATACAATTCCATGGTGGGTCCTACTTTCCTTCCTGAAGGACAAGGAGCAAGCCCTTCAATTTAAATTATGGATTCCATGGAAAAATAAATTATTTTTATTTTTATTTTCTTTGTATATGGCACCTTTTAACTCATTTGACTGTCCTCTTAAGCTTATGATCACAAAGGTGACAAAACAGATACTTCAGATACTTCCAATTTATTTATACTAGAGAATTTCTTAACTTCATTCTAAACTAAACAATTGTGTTGTCTTCAACCAGCTGTCTGAGATGACTCTCAAAAGAGCTGGTATTTCAAGACAACAAAGTATATAGGATCCAGAGAGAGGACTGCAGACAAATACTTTTTTAATTGCTTCTGCTACTTAGACAAAGGCACTAGCAAAAACTATGCATCAAAGCAGAGCCAGTATTGACAGCCTGTAAATTTTGAATGATCTTAAGCACTGATTACAAGGTTATGAGCAAGGCTCACGGCAGGCAGCAGGTTGAGTGTCTATGCTGAACTACTGTGTTCCAAATGTCCACAAAAAGCCTCACATGCCCCACTTTGTGTCACTTGAGACCCTAAAGACGAATCTGCAGGGATGGTATATTAAAAGAAGGTGTCTCAGTTCATAGTCAAAACCCTAACTTTATAACTACACAGACCGTAATGCACCTTTGCCATAATTGGCAATATATTATGAGTGAAGGTCAGCCAGCTCACATATTTCAATATATACAAATAGCAAGATTAAGTTAATGATTTTTATGCTAATGTTACTAAAATATTTCTGATTTTGAAAATCATTTATATTCGAAATACATTTATTTTAGAGGTATTTCTACTTAAATTACATATGAAACAAAGATTTTTTTTCTAGTATGCTCCATATATAAAAATGTGTACACACACCCCACCCACACACATATACATACACACACACATATATACGTACATATATGTATATACCTGTATCTTGAGTCTCAGTCTGCTTTTCATGTTTTGGTTCTGAAAGAAAAGAAAAATAAAGTTCCTGGGTGGTTGATATGCACAAAGTATCCTAAAAATTTGGTTGTTAAGCATCCAGTTCATTTCTTTACTGATAAGTGCAAAGCTTTCAAAGACTTTCTCCAGTTTTGGGGCCTGAATAGATATATGAACCTTTACTGGAGCTTGTAGTAGAAATTCTAGACATATAACAAATACCAAATGTAAACATAATGCTGAAATTTCAAGCATTTCTATCTACACAGATGAAATACTGAAAACAATGACAACAATAAAGCTGTCATTCTGTACAATTGTTATAATTCACCTACACTCCTAATCTTTGAGTAAAGAGCCAGTCTAATTTTTGTAATGCTGAAGAAGAAATAGGTTAAGAATATTCATTACATTACTTTAGATACTGTCTGAAAATAGACAAAATGCTACCCATTAATTGTCTGAATTTTCAATATACCTTTATTGTGAATTTTAGAACTAAAGAAGTTCAGTGTTCATCCAGTGTTTTGGGTAAGGAAGCACCACCATTCGAGAAAATATTACATCAGAGGGTCTGTCAGAAAAGGGGAAACACATCTGATAGATATGGAGCTAGGTCTCTCTTGCTTTTCTGTCCTATTGATGCTGATATATTTTTGTCAAGGGCATCATAGCTGAGGCAAATAATTCTCTTCTGCAGACTGAGAAAGACATGGACTAAGGGCTGAATACACCTTTGGGCTACTGAAAGTCCTTCAATGGGATTTTGACTTCCATCCCAAAGGTGGATGTCGGAATTTCCCTCCTGATGACAAAGAATGAACTGCAAGTTTTTCTATCTCAAATATTTGGAAGTTAGGAATGGCTGTACTTTGCTCGGGTTACATAAACATGGAAAATAAACAAGAGTGCTTTGAAGATATGCTTAACTTCTCTGAAGTATAGTAGTCCCCCAGAAGGATCTCACAGAAGGAATCACAACCACATACCTTTGCTTCAAGACTGTGACCACTAGTAGTCTTGTTTACTTTTTGATTTGGTCTCAGCAATCATTAGCAAATCATTAACCAAATCAAACTAAAACAGAGTCACCTCCAAAGAACTGGTAGTTACTGACAAGATGAAAAGGTAACACTGAGCTATACAGATGCAATGAACCACACCTGAATTGGCCAGGGTTTCATAAGAAAAAGGGCATGCAAAGACTTCAATGTTCTTATGCCACATAAGCACAAAGTATGACAAAGGACAAATATGGGAATATAACCTATACACATACTCTACACTTGTTCCAGTGTTAAAGACCAACTGATTGCTTACATACTTATGGGGTTGGAACATAAAAAGAAAGAAAAAACCCTTAAGTGAGAGCTTTCAAAGTAATGTGACAGCATGGAAAATTTTAAGACAAAGTAATTTCACTTTCATATCAGTGAAAGACTTCAATACTGTCATTTCACTAAATATAGCAGTTGTCATACCATGGTCTTCATTATAATCCCCATGCACTCTATCCTCTGTTTAAAGGAAAAAAAAAATCAATATGAAAATTCATGGAATCTTAAGACAATAAATACACACAAATAATACAGTGTCAAGTTTAGAATACCTTTTTTTTATCCTGAATAAACTATAGTATTTTATACTGCATTAAAGTTAATAAGAGTTCAACAGAGGTGAAGATTTCTAAAAGATCCTGCGAAAAGACCTGAATCATTTTTTGGCATCACAAGGTAGACTTAAAGATAAAGCGCTATCAGTAGGCTTTTCTTATACAGTTCATGAAACCATCTACAAATTGCTTACAATTCAGAATGGAAATACTTATAAATAATTTCTACATACAAACTTCTACAGTGGAACTTTGGAATCCATTTGTTACGGCTTGCTTGCTTTTTAAAAATATTTTTTTAAAAGATACTGCTTTTTTCCTGACACTTATCACACTAACTTCAACATCTTTGGCAAATTCAAATTACTGTTTATCCACAGAAACATTTCTATACAATTTAAAATGGAAACATCTATTCTCCTGCAAATTTAAGCCTCCAAATATTATTCTGCCCATTTGGTTGACATTACAGAAAAGTAGTATTCATGTACATCTTCGTATTTTTTTATAACGTAAATAAAAATCTAGATGTAATAACTTACTAAGGAACTGATGCTATCTATGAGCTCCAATGTTTTGGGGTTTTTTTTGGCCCAGTTTGGGGCCAAATTTCAATGAAATTTCAATAAAAAGAAACAAGACTCTGGACTGTACCTGTGTAATGTTCAATAGCATCTTCTAGCATTAGCTCAGAGTCTCCTTAAACATAAATAGTTAATATTTTATATTCTAATCAAATTTTCATGCAACAGCTAAACAGCACAAGAGAAGTTAAAAAGGTCACATATTTAGCTCAAGAGTAACAGAGCTAAAGATACTGAGATAATACTACAATATTTTATTTGAAAGTGACAGCTGGACTGTAAAACACGTCTAGGAGCTACACTGTAAGTCACACAATATAATAAGTTAATGCATATTTGTATTTAGGCTTAAAATTAGGAATACAAATAGGTCTTAGACAATCCACTGATTAGACTGGAAGACTCCTGACAGAACAAGATATTTATGTAAATATTTGTGGATTGGATTCCTGGAGTGTTGTGGTCACAACTGTAATGGCAACACAGCTGCAAAAATCAGGCTTGTTTGAAACTATCTAAAAAACTGTTTGAAAATCAAACTGTGATGAAACTATCAATATGACACATATACTTTTTTTAAACATGCTTCAAAGTAAAGTGATTGTATTATAATCTGAAGTCATGAAAAATTTACAAACCTGGAGCTTCTGGATCACTTACTGTCTTTTCCACATCCATATCATACTCATATAAAACTGTAAATTAAATAATTAGAAAAAAATTAAAATTAAAAATAAATTAATATGAAATATTTTTAATAGTCTGTTATTTTAACTTGCATGCATAATGTGTCTGTCAATAGTAAATGTAACTCCTGAGTTGAAAACTGACAAATTAAAACCTTACAGACAGACACTTACAACTTGACACATGGCAATCTAATGGAAGGTGTTGGGCCACCCTCTCTTCTAGTCTTCTGTTATACTCTCTGTATGAAAACCAGATCCACAAGAGCCATTAGTCTCCATAAATAGTTTTTAATAGTTCTTCTAATATGAATGAAAAATGTAATCTTCCCCTATCCTCAAAGTTCTAAAGTAGCTTCTTTACTAATGTGCAGGAGGACCACTGGTGATGATCTATAGAAGACAAGATAAAAGCCAGAAATCAGACCTTGAGAAATACGTACATTCGCTTCTGGCATCACAGATTTAGAGCAATTTACTTTTTTTCATCGCATAGCTAAATATGTGGATTAATTTCCTCTGTGACTACAGTTCTTTGTGATGTTATTAATATACTCAGCATGATAAATCTGACAACACATGGTACTGAACGTAAAGTAACTACCCTTTTACTTTGGAAGCATTGCAGTTTGGATTCTAAATCGGTAACTGGAAAGCAGTAATCTCCCACAAAGACAGGAATAAGCAGTTTTAGCTGTATCAAACAAATGAAAGTATTTTCCTGTCATGTTTGGCATCAAACAAGACTGTAAAGTCCAGAACTAACATTGAGCCAAAGAAAGAGCCTAGTTCAAACAGAAATCAATGTCTAATGTAAATGGAAGGGGCTACCTGTACTACAAAGCATTATTAGCATCCAAAACAAAATATTTATCAGATAGCTTAGAAACTGTAATATCCACCTAATGTTTCTTCATAACGGAAAAGATGAGCTAATGTCATTGTATGTGATATCAAGCACAATATGAAGATGACTAAAAGCTAATTGGATTAGTCCAGGCAAAACTTCAAAAAGCTTTAAAGATGAATTAGGTTGTGCAGAAGGACAGTGCAAAGATAGTTCAGAATGAAGTCCTTGGTGCTGACCAAGTAACGTACTATAATCGGCCCTAAAGAAACACAGTCCCAAATGAAAGGTTACAAACTGGATGCTTCTGAAAGGTGACAGGTTCCATGTGAGAATACAAGCTTCTAATGCCAAGAATAATAGGCTAGAAAAACCTTAGCATTGCCAACTGTAAGAAGACAGTAACATAAGCAATAAATCTCATTCTCACTTTCTTAGACTGTACAATCACAGATCTCTTGCCTATCCAGATCCCAATGATACACAACAACTTCATTTTTACTTTTTCATGTGTTTCTGGTTTTTGCATCAATGAAAGCAAAATTTCCATACCTATCATCTGTTCTTTTTAAGAACCATTTGCAATAGCAAATATGATACAGTCAGCTCAGTCAGAGTAAAAATATGCAAGACAATCAAGCACAGTTGTTTGGAGAAAAAAACATTTTCAAAATTATATATTACTAAACCAGTCTATCCTTTTCTATTTTGCTTTCTCATATAATTTGCTACATTTAGGCAGAAAACCAATATTACCAAATTTGGAAAAACAAAATTATACCTTGAGCTTCATATGGTTCAGGCTCCGTTGCTCCAAGATCATCTGCCAAAAGATCAGCATCTGAGAAACAAATATGTATTTACAAGTTTTAAAATTTTTAAGTCAATACATGATACCACAAACCCTATAACAGAGTATTATGTAAGAATAGAGTTAGATTTCTAAGCAGAAATTCTAAGCAAATTTCTTCTAATGCCAGCAAGATATGCATATAGATTGAAAGAATAAAATTTGTAATTTTCTTCTTATAATACTGAGAATGTGCATGCACACAAACTCTATACACATTTGTTCAAAAAAAAGATGACTCTCCACAGAAATTTCTGTGTAAATGTAAAGAAAGTAGAACATATTCACTTTGCCTTCTTAATAGTAATTTTAAAGATTTAAAGTAACTGGAATTTGAATTTCTCCTCTATTCCCTTACTTGAACTTGCACAGTGGATGAATAGAAGAGGTAAAGAAACAAAGAGGTATATTAGACCCAGACTGAAAAGAATTACTTCAGCTGTGAAGAAAGAATCTCAGGGTACTTCCAGCCATCGAAACTTTTAGATGACATCCATTACATGAGTTTTTTCAAAAAGATGTATTAAGATATATATAAAACCTTCAGTACTGCAGATAAAAAGCATTCAGAAATATTTTTCCCTAAGTTGGATTTAGATCATATTATTCTGCTTTGATATTTTGATTACAAATAATTTTTATCATCCTGTCAACGCCCCAAGGCAGCAGGATATGAGCATCTTCTTCATATGATGTTATGTTCTCAGCAGGACCTGCAATATAGTTCATGTATAACATTCTCTTAGAGAGCCACATTAGAAGGAAAGTAGAGTGAGGATAAGTCTGTCTACAAAAGGCTGTGCTAATAAACTCTTAAAATTTCATTTAATAAGCTAGAAAGTCCAGAAGCAGACTCCATACAGATAATATGGAAGCCCCTCTGCTGGGGGGAGATATGCATACCTGGAGCCCAGATTAATTTGTTTGGTTGAAAGCCAATATAGCAGTAAGTAAACAATAATATATAGTTACCTGGATTCCAAATCACATGGCATTAAAATATCCCACTTTGATTTAAAAAAAATATTCCTTTGCTAAATAATACTTGCTGTGGTTGACATCTGCTAAGTCTCTATTGCAAGTAGAAATTACGAGTCAACTTTTTAATGAGACATATTTCCATTTGTCTGTTCTTATTGTTGGCAAAATTTAATTTTAAATATATTTAGTTATTCAGATACCTTTCTGAACTGAGTCTGGTGTCTCATATGCTTCTGGCATTTCATTCTCTAATTCTCTGTGCAAGTCATCTGTTGTAGGAGCTTCAAAAGTTTCTCCATGTATTTCTTCCTTCACTTGCCAGTGGTCATTTATACTTTCATCTACATCTTCGTGTCTCTCTCCTAATCGATAATAAGGATTGTTAGAGAATAGATACTCTTTGGTAAATTCTATTACCAGCACATATTCAGTCTGCAGCACACCCTTCGTGTTTTCAACTAGTCCCCAGATGGGATGGGGAGGGGGACAGATGACTTGTCTGCACCTTCCAGCAGTATAAACCCAAAGTATCTGCACTGACTTGCCAGTGCCTTCTTTGGTCCTGGAGAAAACCACAGTAAAAGCCATCTCTGTTTACCCATTCTTACACTCCACACAGTATTTTGAGGAAGTTTTTGTCAACTGACTGATTTGAGTTACTGCTGGCAAACACCTCTGGGTAAGAGGCCACAGTTTTAGGATTTGGTGACTGAACTTTCCAAATTTTCTTGAAAGTGACAAATTAGCTGAACAGAATGTTTTGTGCAGGCAAAGTACTTCAAGTGCATACCAAAACCAGACCCTGAGATTTGTCTAGCATATGGCAGTATTTATAAATTCTTCAGTGATTTCTAAGTGTTAATGCATTACCAGGCTGGGAATGGAGAGCTTCATGAAGAACAGACTGAATTTCCTCTTCCAATTCTATGTCAGCATTCTTGTGCTCTAAAAAGATTATAAATTGCAGTGAAGGTAAGTGCAAAAGGCAAAATCTAAACATTAGCTCAAGGCTTGCAGCTTTTAATAGCCTCCATAGAGTTCCTATTCCATTTCATAAAGTTCTGTAGAGATTGACTTGGTGAACTCACTGTAACTCACGCAATTACAAAAACAATTTGGTTTTGCTTACTCTCCAATATGGAAAGTATGACATCAATCACAGCAGATCCATTCTGAAGATGAATTGGAAGACTTTATCTACACTGCATTTTCTGCACATATCTTTTTCTCAGTGGCAGTAACATTAATAACTTCAAATAACTATTCAAACCAAGAATTCTCTTCTAAGTAATTATTTTACTAACACTTTCATCCATTACTTTCCTACAATTTAGGCAGCAGCACTAGCATGTCACATTTGACAATGAAATGTCACTTGCAGAAGTGGGGTTTTGTTGGCTTTATAAACAGGGAAAATAGATACTAACATTACAATATCAAGGTCTTCTCCTGGCAATTCATAGCAGAATAAATCACAAACTGATTTCAGGGACAAGTGATTGTCATCTAACACACCAGCCCAGGACATAACAGGAATTTGTATGAAGTGTTGTCTTCATGTAAATGCCCTGAAACTAACATTGAGAAACTCAACAGCACAAAACTAAATCACAGCTGCATTTTTCAAATAAAGATCCAAAATGGTACCAGTTTGGGGGGGGGGGGGGGGGGGGAGA